CATCATCATCATGACATCAATGTTCAACACCGATGCTTCGCTGTCGTACAACCATGATCTATTTGAAAGCCTTAGAAGAAAGAAAAGAATGGAGGTAGACGGGGGAAGCAAGATGTTCACACAAATGTCCAAAAAAAACCTAAGCTTTTGTTCAAAACAGGTCTGGTAAAAAGCCTTATAGTGAAGAAAAGAATGGAGGTAGACGGGGGAAGCAAGATGTTCACACAAATGTCCAAAAAAAACCTAAGCTTTTGTTCAAAACATCATGGTCTGGTAACCTAATTAATTCCTTGGCCCGTCAGCAAGCGCAAAGTGCACAAATACGAGTAGTTCCACGACGCACCGATCGCAGTACGACATGCAGTTTTCCTTGCCGCATACACCAAACGGGTGCCGATACCACCATTTATTTATTTATTATTTCTGAACCCTCTCGTTCTCCCTGTTTACGCGTCATTCGTAGGTTCATCCCAGCTGTGGGAACCCAAGGGAGTACCTGCAGCGCTCCATTGCTCACACGCACATAGCCTCCTGCCCCTTCCTCAGACATTCCTCGTCTGTTTTCATCACCGCCTTCACTGTACAAACCTTGGAGCAAGTTAACCACTGACCCGATCTAGTGCAGACTCTTGACACTTTCAATGGACAGCTTATAGGAGACTTGAAACATGTCATGTGACTACCTCGGTCCCACGACAGGAACCACATGACACAGATGCACACCTACTGCAAAAGGTACGCATCTATTCAATTAAGCCGGCAAATCTTCTAGCATCATCCAGGATCATCTTCCCACTGCAGAAAACAGAAGAGTGGTGACGACCGGAGAGTAATTGTTCCGGAAAAGTTTGGAAAACAATCAATAAATTGTTTTCAAAGTAGCAGCAGTGACAGATTCACGAGCCGGACCTATGCCGTCGACCGTAGTCTGGAGGTCTCTGCAATAGAACAATACCTGGAAAACGGAGTTTCACTTATAAAAAAAACAAGGGGTACGTGTTGGCGTTGAAAACGACCTGCAACTCATGATGAGTACACGCACAACCATACCAGTTAGGCGTGCGAATTTCCAGGTTTGGCAAAAGATAAATGTAGTTCCGAATAGCCTGTTTCATCAAATTCTGATAAAATGGGTCCCAGATCAACCAAACTCAACCATCAAACAGTCGAAAATCAGATCACAAAATAATATATTCTGGTTCTCGAAAAAATCGACGGGAGCATCACACATACGGGTAAAACACATGTGAAGCGGGCCGTGTGGGAACTTTCTGACGGAGATCGAGGTCGAGGGGGTGAGAGATGCAGTCAGCTTCGCATGACTTGCACTCATCCATCACAGGGGTTTCACCCGCATTCTGTTTAGGAAATGCGAAAAGTCAGAATGAACAATGATTTTCTGGTAAAAATGGAGCATTATAAACACAATCAAATGCACCCAAGTCACCTAGATGAAGCAGTTAAAAAGTGACATGCAATTGAGTAGTTTCATCACCATCATCATCGATAGGAGAACATGTGTTCCATAATGATCCTTCGCTGGCGTAGAATATTTTTGTGTGCACTTGGTTGTGCGTTGGCTGGGATACTGTCATATCGCTCACACCTGAACAGGAAGACGCTTAGGGTACTCGACCAAAGCCTTGGGCTCAAAAGCCTAACCGCAGGCAACGGTGTTTGGCGGGAAATGCAAACGCATTACCATTTTTATAGAACAAGTCGCCACACGTTACAGCGCCCCATATGAAGGGCTGGCAGACTGTGTTGACCGGATCTCTAACCCTTGGGAAAATTGTTGCACGGATACCCTCAATGCGTCGGGAAGTGCACAAACCATCACAACACGGTAAAAATCCAGTCTCTTCGTGAGAGATTGAACAGTTGCATAAGTAGTAAGTTACTTTAAAAAGGAATAGACCGAAAGTACTCATGGGACAAACAGTCAGTGATGTCCGTATGGTCAACGTTTTTTCCCATCCATGTTGCGATAGGATACCAAGGAATTGGGATTTGGAGTTCTTCTCAGTGGCAGCTTGAAGAGATAATGGCGATGTTTACTAGGATCAGCTGTTGCGCACTTCTAATTTGAATATCTTTGCAACACGGGTGCAGCCACCAAATCTGCACAAAACATAGTTTCGATTGAATTTTCAATTCAACAACTTCCCTCACATGATGAAAATATGCTTCAATCTCAAAGTGTGACTCCTTCAAGTTAGGTAATGACGTGAGGATTTGATGAACTTGATCAGTGCGCCCAATACTCCAATCCATTGAAAATGGTCAATATGCCCCTCAAAAAAGAACACAAACTCACAAATAGGAACGATAAGAGTTGGCCAGTAACCTGGTCCGTTCGTTCTTATATTCTTAAGCACTGCACAGACCCACTGACATAGAGTCCTAATTGCGCGAATGCGGATTAGTCGAGGTGCGATGGGCAGAGCAACTTCAGTCGCGAGGCTAAGTAAAGGTTAAGTACTCCGCATTCTCTAAAGCCATAGCCTAAGGTACATCCTCTTGCTGTTGAGTAGAAAACAATGTTGGCGGAAGAAGTCACAGAAGTTAGTGAGTACTACTTTCATATGGAACACGAGGACATACAAAATAAAGTTGACTCTATCGGGTACTTCAAAAATACTAATAATGATGGGGTTGCTCTTCATCGCCTATGAAAAACTTAGTAGCCGATAGATTTTGACAGTTTGTAGCCATGTAAACTTGGTCAAAACGGTTTTCCGAGTATAGTTACGTTCTTATTGGTTGCAACCCGAAATGGGATAGGGGCGTATGAGATATCTACCGAATGTGACACTGAATCGAATTGTTTTAGGCTTGAAAACGGATGAAAGTCTGAGTACGCTCATCAGCGCACGTGGTCGTGAGTGGCACTGGGCATCTCAGATGGGGTCACGTTATCAAATGACGTATGAAATAAACATGCTGATACCGGCTCACAGCGGATCATAAACTGCAAACTGCCTATTTTACCTCATTCCCTAGTGACTGAGGTTTTTCAGTTATAGCCCTGGGGGATGTGGAATCACTTCACCCAGATAATTTCACAGAAACGATGTAAAAACCGCAATCTCACACGCATTTCCCTGGACGCAGCCAGCCGGTACAGTTATACTCATCCTGCACAATTCGTCAACTTTCTCCCGCAAGTCCATCTTTTAGGACTACCACCTTGTACCAACCTTTACGGAAACACAATTTGGTACCATTCATACCGTTCGAAAAAAGTCTCCAAATAGACTGAATAACTGCAAACGAATGGTAGCCCCAAACTAGTAAAAACCTCGCATCTCACTCAGGTTAGCCGTTTGTAAAGCTCATTCTCCATCACAACCTTGTCATCTCTCAGGATCCAGACTACAAAACACTCTAGATTATTTCGGCTTCATTTGCTACACGACATGCTTCAACGACTATAGCTATCTGGAAACTGAGAGACATCGAATTTCTCACTAATTTCGATTGCCAGAAAGTGGCAAGACAATGGCCCCCGGGACGAATGTATTGGTATCGCACCAGGCACGGTTGCCGAATGTACTCGCGGAGGCAAGTTTATTCAAGAATTTGCATTGGAAAAGACGCGACCAGTGCAGAAAACACTGCTGTTTATCGGTTACCTTCATTGGTGCTCTGTAGTTCAGCAATGATTAAGGATAAGTCATGTAGATAAATGAAAGATCACATCCTAATATCAAATAGTGTAGGTGTACCCTAAACCTCCCAGTTGGCACGTTAGGTTCGGATAAAGTCAGCCCATGTTGGCACTGACCAGCTTGCGTCGGGTCCAATGTCCACGGAGGTTTCCCCACTAAAATAACTTACGCCGAAGTGCAGCTTGACGCTTTTCCTGACAAGAGATGGACGCACACCCATTACATTGCGGCCAGTTACTGAGAGGCAGGTGGCAAAAAGGAACTACAATCGCAAATCGGCACTTGATCTCGAACCATCAAACAACAGTGGAAAAATACAGCATGATGAGGAACTCAACAGAGTTCAAATCGGCCCCTTACATGGAAGCCTCAGTTGCCTCCGATAATTCTCGAGAAGTTTTCCAAATCGTAAGAAAGACGGCTCCACAAGCAAACTCAGGGGTTGGGATGAACATAGCTCAAAAGGCTTAGATAACCAAAGACTGTCCCTTTTGGCGCCATTCACGAAAAAATCGATATCGTTCCACAACGTCTACGGGAAGCACCAAGGGTGATGCGACAACTGAAGCGTGTCAAAGTCCTACGGACATAAAAATTGTCAGAAATGCCCTTCACATAAGTGGTCAACTTTGTCACGGAATGTTGATAGACTTGGAGTACATAAGGGAAAGAAAGAGCGGCTCACCCCAGACTGACACCACCGGAAGGCTTTTTAAGTTCAAGTTCATACGACGAATTGTCCTTTGACGGTTTGATGACAGTCAGTAAGATGGGAATCTGTAATATATTGGAAACAGAAAGCAAAAAGCATGCGGCATACAGCTTTGTTATTGTAAACAACGAAGGGGAAATAAGAAGGAAGAGACTGCTGCGTTCGCTGTTTGTAGCGTGTTCATTAGGCCTTACACAGAAATTAGATGTCAAAACAAGGCTTTAATTCAAACCTCACCACTCACGTTCGCAGGCGTATTGTGCATCACTGTCGATATATCACGTAAGGTCTCGAAATTTTCAGCAGATACTGAGCCGAACTGCGTGATTCTGTCGCCGACCTCAAGTCCCTGTGCAGAAAGGAATAAAAGTGGGAAAGAATGGTGGCACACACGACAAAAATTGCGAGATGGAAACTTTAAACTGCTTGTCTGGAAAACGGTCTAGCTTGCGTGCATCAATCAAAAGCTAGATAGTTCAAATGAAGAAAATTAGACTTCTGTGGTTCTGCAAACGCAAAGCACTGATTACTGACATTTCGAATGTCCAAGATCCCCGGTTGTGTAAAACGATGCCTAATATCTTACACGCACAACTACGCACTGATGATGTCACCTCGATTGGTGATGAAACGTTTGCAACCAAATTGCCCAGCTCAGCGAACAAGCCAACGACCATCTACGCTACCTGAGCTACCGACATTCTCCTCTATAGAAAATCTTAACTACTAGTGAGACGGAAAGTAGATTAAACAAATGGGTAAATAATAGAGCGAGTTCGCTCAGCAGACAGACGGCTAAAAGTTGGGGATCTGATTCGTTTCGATTGAAAACACCTATTCTCATCACATCTTCTGACTAAGAAGGAACTTTGGGGGTCGTGGCTTACACGCTGGTACAAGCATGAGGAGGGAGGAATGTGCGCTTCGTAAAATTAACACCAGCTTCGTAAAAATTAACACCATACAATAGTATGGTGCCGTTGGAAGAGAAACCATAGATTCACTTTATGTCCAGCATCGCACTTTTCGTGCTCGCTGAGCAAAATTATCGGACGACAAACTTAACGCTCCATAATAATCCCATGCACATATACCGATATAGAATATGACTGTACACAATAGTTTGCTCTTTTATGACACAACTGTGGCTGGATTTAGTGTACTATGCGCTCGAAAATACTTCTTGAAGTCCGAGTAGTGTGAACAAGCTACCCGGAAGCCATCCCGCGGTATTTTAGTTGTCCGGGCTGCGTAGTTCCATGGCTGCGGAGTAAACAGCCTTCTCAGTGGAACGAAACTGAATTTATCCGTGGATTCGTGATTACAGTACCCACAAACGAGATACTCACTCGCATGGTTTAGGAACATAACAGCGTCCCGAAGTTGGCATGCGTCGAAATATAATCGACGGGACTCACCACACTCTCGGCAACTCCACCAGGTTGCACTTCCTCTACCACGAGAAACGCCCTCAACTGTGGTGCCTTGGCAGTTGTAGTACTTTGGATTTTTGGTTCTTCTTTCACTTCAGTCTGTGAAGTTGGTCCTGCTTGTCTTGCAAGTTCGTGAAGATGGTGTAAACAGCCTTCTAGTTCATTCATCACTTGTTTGTGGTCGTTATTCAGACCTACACTGAGACACAAGAAATGGAAAATGGTCAAGCCTACCGGAAAAAATCTGCCATATCAAGACTCGCTAGCACTCGATTTGGACAAAAAACAACCCGTCCAACAAGTGGTGTAACTCACGTATTATGTTGTTTCGCGCTACTCGTACCGCCACCAAATCTATATCTGACCGAGGGAACCCTTCTCGATCAACCAGTGGGGCATGAAGACCGACATTTCCGTTCTATAATAGGGAGACACATAGAAGGACCTTAAACATATCGGTGGACACAAGAAAGTTGCTTTCGTGAGAAGAAGGAGGAGATTCTGATGCTAGTTGTGTCAGTCTGGATAGCCGGGATTCGATTACCTGGATACTGAGATGAGATCAACCGCTTCAATCCAGATATCAGCCTACAAGTTATGCTAGAAGTTATAGCATTCTTATCATTGTTGAGAATCACCAGTAGTGCATAACTAACGAACCACGAAGGTGACTGATAGGGCTGGGCTTGATGGGAGTTGAAATATCGAGTTTTGCAAAATATTCGCGGAGATTGTGATGTCCCCACCCCTCAGACGGGTGACGAAACTTTGAAGGCAACTTGCCAAGCTGAGCGAACGGATTAACGATCACTGCATCTACAATCAACTGACCAGTGTGAGAATTATTTTCAGTCCCATCCGACAAGGCGATATAGTACAGTTATTGACAGTCAACCTTGTCGCATCAACCGAACGGTTCCAAATGCACTTCGGCAGCAGCAGTGTTTTACTGGCACAAAGCCACGCGACTTTTTTATGGAGGGAAATGTTGGTAGCTCAGCCAAGCGAGTTCATCTGAAAACAAGTCGTACGCTCAGGCTAACAAAAGCCAGAAGGGATGCAGTCCTAGCCAACCACAAACACTCAATGAGGTGACCTTAGTAAAAATTCCCTGACTTGAATTTGACGCCATTTTTGCAGCCCATCCAGCAAACCACAGGGAGATCATAGGCGCCCTATTCTGGAAACGCTGTGGCGCCTGTGGATGACTAAAACTTTCAACCGAGAAGTTGTCAACCGAGGGACCAGCTGACGCGTAATCAAGTGGCGCTGTATCCTGTTTAAATGCAGGTTAATCACTGCTCATCCACTGCTCGTGACCCAACGGTTACATGTTCAAGCTACTAGCCAGAAGGTTGCCCTTTTCGAAGCTCCCTGGAGTTACGTAAGGTGTATACTGCTGATGAGGACGATAAGGAAGAAACCACGGTACACTGCCTCTTGGTTTTTTGGCATGGACCGGCTTTACTTACAGGGCAAAATCTATAGTGTAAATCCCAAAACCTCAGTTCAATACCAACAAGCACACAAAAATGACTGAGACTGGTAGGTAATGGGACAAATGGTGCACGAACCGCTTCTAATACTTCGCTGAAAGTTTGTATTTCTTTTTCCAAACTGGCCTTCCGTGACGAAAGGTCGCCAATTCTCGCCTTCAACTGGATCTGAGCAACTGTCAGGGTATCCGGAGCCATCTCACCAGCAGACGTGACCTTGTGCGAATGCAAGGTATCCTGAAAACGGTGAGAACAAAGTTAATTGGCGGGAAACGAAGTTAGCAATCACCTCGTTTAGGGATATGAAGTCTTGATCCCGTTCATCCTCAAAACCAAAAGTCGTGTCAAACCCTTCCCTCAGAAATGCGGACATCTATCAAATAGTTATGGGCATCAAATTCGGATACCAATTGATAGCGGAAAAACAAACGGCACGGCTGCAGTTGGCTCAAAGCCCAATCCTATAGAAACTACGGTAAGTTTCCCAATAAAAACTCATCAGGAGAGAAACAAGCAAATCCGTAAATTCAACAACAGGGTTTCCCACCAAACTCTGAGTGCTACTCCCTGAAGAGACATCGATTTGAAGGAAGAGAATTTTTTAAAAATTATAAAAAAATCCCCCGTGATGCACGTATTATTGCGTAGTATCATGTAAGGCAGACACTATATTACCATAGTGAAAAGGGTGGCTCAACCTGGTGTACTTTCATTGGCTAGCCGGTATGAGCGAACACTACTAAAAGTGGCCAATAAGTATCATATTTTGATTTCTCATGCCATTCATCGTAATTCTTCTTCAAAAAGAACACCACAGCATACCGCCCCGAGTCACCATCCTGTACAGAGGATTCACTTTGAAGAGCACATGACCCCCAAGATCTCGGAAAAGCCTAGAACCCCTAGATGTGTTCTCAAGATTAACTCCATTTGTGGACCATTTCCAAACATTATATTGGTGTGCCCCAATTAGAAAAAAACTACGGGTGAGCATTCGGACGTATTGAATGGTACTGATGTCTGGTACAAAAACATGGATCGAGCCAGATTGATCCACACGGCTAGTGATTTAGCCGAACACACAAAAACAATTTTCAAACAAGTGAACATTTGGTATTTCCTTTCAGGCAGAACCCAAGAAAATGTGGAACAACCTCAAATCGGCTAAAAAAGAAATAGCTGCCAATAGCTGTGGAGTCAATGCACAGCTACACGGTTGCAGAAGGTAGGGTACCGTATCAACACCATCATCATTGTCAGTTGTAAAAACCGTGTACTTGTCGTACACCGGTTGTAGCTGTCACAGTTTCGTTCACCGATGATTCGGGGAGGTGGGGTAGATAGCTGAAGGTACCGTAACAGGGAAGGTCAACAGGAGGGAGACCAAACACCGTCACTGTTCCAGTGAAATGATCCCCATATTTCATATTTCGTCTCCCGTCTGCCGGTCGGTACTTACTTTCTGTTACTCGACCCTGGGTTTTATCGTTCAGCTGTAACAGCCTTTCGGTACCATACCACCTGAAGGAAGCATGAGGGCTGGGATACTGCCAAGTTGCCCAACCCTAGACAAGGGAAATCGAGAGGCAGAAGTCGGGTTCGAACCACGGACCTTCCGGTCAGTAAATTCACACTCTAACGAGTGAGACATCTCGCCCCCTCTGGGTTTTATGCGCGAATACAATCTACCAAACCTGAATAAGTTTTAAACAGCACGAGTCCAAAAGCACGAAATTGGAGCTTATTATGTCTACAGTTAGTAGGACCTTGTCAATACAACACAGCTCCATACGAAGTGAGACTTACTTCCTATCGTTACTGGGTTAGGAACACGTGAAAATTCTATGCGATATAATGTGCTCATTTCTGAGGGAAACCAAGGGAGTTCAGAGAGCGCAACCTTCGGCCTAGAAGGTCGAACACTTAGACGCGTGCTAATTCTATGTATATAGAAGAATACAACAACGTAGAAGCCGACTGGTCCGACAAAGAAGCTGGTGAAGACCAGATAGGTGCAGCGTCAAGGAAGTCTGAGAACGTAAACGCAAGTGAGTATTCTAACCTGAAACGGTTAACGACAAGCGCGCATTTGTACGGGTCAAATGCAACTAAAACTAGCACGCGACTACAATGCTACTGGGCCAGTCTTATCCCTAAACTCTTCACCAAATTTCGGAAGCTCATGATTTAGTGAGTAAACATGCGATGGCACCGTGAATGCCTGTTAGCAGAGATAGGGCCGATGTACGGTGTTTCTATATTCTCCAGCAACGAAACATGTAAGCCGCTCATGCTTGAATAAAACGGGAACTATGGCATATATCACCATAATCATCATCAAAGACACTCATGCACTCATTCTTCACTGCCGTACAACCATAAGGTTTGTCTAGGACGGTCTCCTTCTCCCAGATAAACCCAAATAGGCTAGACAGGCACTGAGTGAAGAATCCACCGCCATCCTTGAAAAGAGCAGGTGGAAGGTCGTCAGGACCAGCAGCACGATGACGCTTGAGTAGAGAAATGCATTCGGACACTTCTGAGACTGAAGGCGGCTCCATATTTACAGTCCACCTTTCTGTAGAAGGCCGGGTTTCTGGATTGTGGGTAGCAGGTGGCCAGCTGAATTGCTATTCGAAGTACTGTGCCCAGCGGTCCAAACGTTCTGCTTTGCTGCATATCAGGGAGCCATTTTGGTCCCTGATTGTTTCACTGACAAGAGGTTTCCGAGGACCAGTCGAACGAATCAAGTGGAACAATTTGCGCACGTTTCCAGCATTCTTTGCATCTTCCATTTCTTCGACCTTTCGGGTCCACCAAGCTTCTCGGTCTGCGCGGACACTCAGTTTCACCTGGCGTCGGATGATGCGCCGGATGGAGTTGTGGTGACGGCCATGTGGGATCTGTCGCCGGGTCTCCATAAAAGATACGGTTCTATCAGAGATCCAATGGTTGGATGAGGTTGGCTGGGTTGTACCGCAAGCAGACGCTCCTGCTTTGAGTAACGCGTTGGATATTTTAGAGCTGAAAAGTTGAGGTCCATTATTTAAGTTTAGATCTCTCAGTCCAGCCGGTTCCATCAATCCGTTACGAACGGTAACGCAGACAAATTTGTCTCTCAGTAGAATGGAAATACAAAAGTATATCCGAACAATCGCCGAAAATAACGAACAGATGGACATTTGTTGTCTTGTAGGTATCTGAAGGCATTCAGAAAAAGGGGAAACCTGAAGACTGCTCAAGCGGGGAAAACATAATCAACGGTCAACCATCCTCTCCTAAAAAAATATAGGACCCGTTGATCAACAAGCTATCTATTCCCAAGCACTTCTAATGTTACGCTAGTCACGTGCACTCCGAGAATGGTGTCGTTTCTTAGGCTGCCTCGTGAATTAATGTTCCGAATAACTATTCAAGCTATCAAGAGATTGAGAGAAGGCTGAGACAGTAAAAATTACTAGGTTGTTTGCCTAGCCTCCATACCCGTTTATTTCAGTTACAGAAATCCAATAAAAAACGAAGCACTAACATTAGTTACTCATTCGATTCAACATTGACGTGGCACATGACCACATCCTGTAATTATCTTGATTAATTAACACTTTTACACACACGGAAATGTTAAAGAATAAAACAGCTGCAGAGTTCCAAAAAAGATCATGCAATCGGTAGGAAGAGACTAGTTTGGTCAGTCTTGGACGGGCCCAGCCAATGGAGGAGAGGTGAGATCACAAAATGAGGGCCTCCTCTAGTGAGAAGCGCATCGTGGTGATAGTGATTCCTCGGGGCAGAGCTATTAAGGGATAAGTCCTCACGACGGTCAGTAATCCCAGATGGCCCAGTATCTACAGACAAACACTTAATTGAAAACTAATTTCGTGTTCAAGGGAGGGTGAAATGAAGAGCCGCCGAATATCTCATCCATCATGTTTTTTTCAGTAGCTAGCTGAACTTATGAAATTTACTTCCTAGCTGACCAAAGGAAGCCTGAGTTTCTATACCTGAATTTAAGTACTTGGATCAAGATTGAGCAGTACAACGGGTTCAGGGAGTAAGTCATGGCAGGTTGACTGCAACAGGTCCGTCCGAAGTGAATAGTAGCTCAACTGTAACATCTTTTCGGTGCATAGCCACCGCGGATCTAGAGGTGAGCGCGAAGATTACTACACCACTAGGTTGTCCAGCCTAGACAGGAGCAGTCAAAATGCCAGGGCATGTTTAAACCATGAACATTCTGGTCCATTGAACTCGACATCGCTCAGTGGATAAGACGCGCGCTTGGTGACTTGAAGGTTCGTGGTTCGACTTCAACTTGGGTATCTAGAGTGCTTCTGTCTATGCTTGTGTAACCAGACAGTATATCAGCGCTCATGCTTCCTTCGGGTGGTATGACAGCTAAGCACCCAAAAGGCGTTACAGCTGGACAATAAGATGAACTTTCCAATCAGTAGATCTACGCCTTAACCGCAACCTTGAGCTATCTCGCACACCTAGGGGGGAGGACATGTTAGGTTGAATAAAAACAAGTATGTCCGAAGTGGTAACAATGATTTGCCCCTCGAAAGTTCTTTCGAGGTCATCGTTTTGCTGTAGTACCAGATGTTTGCGTAAAAAAACAGGGACGGTGACGAACCGTTGTGCAGTCGGAGTGTGGTATGCTGCACATTTATGCCAGCCCTCCTTCAACAAAGAAAGGTAGTGGGGACCCTTCTTTGAGTATCATTATGCGACGGCCTAAAGCAGGAATTGTAGTCCCTTCACAATCATAACATCAGAAAATGAACTACATTTGTAGACTAGCATCCATGCTGTTTTTTTTCAGATTCAGTCCTGGCACGATAGGCTGTTGATAAAAAACGTCCTAGTGAGCGGAATCCGTTGACTTGTCGGCTTGCTTGCCCGAAAAACAACCCCAATATGGTGAAGTAATTTAGTTCTACTTATCTGCGAAGGAAAAAAGCGCGCACCAAGTAGCACCAACTGGATATTGCACGTTCGAATCCCAAGTGGGGATTTCTATATCCACACTATAGGAATACCACCTGCCCTATACATCAGGCAGTGGGGATTTTATGCCTACTGTTGCACAATAACGTGGAGTTAGTCAGTTCATCGCTAAAGCCAACCGTAAACGACTGAACTACACAGAGGGATGCGATGGGTGAGAAGACCTAAGCAACACTCCCCAGTCCCATCCCATTTGCACACGAAGAAGCAGTTGGGCACCAGAATGCAGACACAAACTATCGATGATAACTCAGCGGAAAAAACGTAAGCTGTGTATGTAAAACGATATATGTGAAACTGTACAATACATCTGGACGGTGAATTATGCACGATTAAAAATCAAACTGGCAAAATGTAGGTTAAATGTTTCAGCGCAAGACTGACGTGTTCCTTGTCCAGCACAGACGAAAGAACTTCTTCTTCAGAAGCGAGAGCCAATAGAGGTATGAGACAGGCCAACAGACCATCCAAGAGTAACGACTCAACACCCTGCGGATTAACTGGACCCTGTGGGCCAATGAAAAGAAAGATAACGTATGTTTTCTCCCTACTAAAAAGCGAGAACGAACTGAGATGTGCCAGCACAATGTAAAACGATCCCCTACACTCTGAGGTGAGTCAGGGAGAGAGGCCAGAAAATTGTGGTAAAAAGCCCAGCAGAATACTTGGCGCGTTGTTTGACAAATGACAAAAGCCCTGATTCCCCGTGACCAATTAAGTTTCGACCAAATCTTCGTACGTGCAGGTGACGTATGAGAGCTGTCAGTACTTGACTATCCAGGTCTACTGAGAATATCGGAGTAGCAATGCTGACGTACACCAGACGGTTTTAGGAAAAAAAGAACGGTTACGTCCCAAAAGTTACGCTGGTTATGCATTCCGCGTACCAGAGGACCGTCTGTCTCACAAACCTCTCTGTAACCAGCCTTGTGCTCACAGAAAGCGACCAAGAGGTGGAGAGTGTATAACCTGGCAATGGGGTATGAAGAGAGGTCGACAACTACCAACTGTTAGGATAGGGACCCCAGGACTTATCTAATCAATTGTTCATAACACTGGCAGACACGCTTCAGTCACACATTAAGTGGCGCTCTTGAATGGAAGCTGTCACCTTCAACTCGTAGAGGTTCAGTTTCACAAACTAAGTGATGACGTCATCACCTCCAATGCTTGACTCTCTCATTTTTCGGTGACCAGCATTGTACCAGCTAGAACCAACGAACCTTTGGTACATGGTTTATGAAAAATCTTCAGCTAGTTAGCACACAACCAATAAGCAGGAGTTGCAAGCAGACGAGGCAGTCTAAGTAAAAAAAAATTGTCCGGAAAAAAGATGACCGATACACCCGATAGGTCAGTTTTGGACTTATTGAAGTATGAGATCATCCGTGTACATCCTACATAGTTTGCCTGCTTTCAAAGGGGATTGTGACACTAGTGGACAAAATAAAGTCGACGAGACCGTTGATTGGGATGTCATTCATTCACACAAGAACCCGTGAGCAAAACAACGACCACAGTTGTAGTCTGGTCACGAATCTGCTGCATTACGCAAAGAACGAAGTAGGAACCAGTCTTCGATCCAGGAACATAGTGTGGCGTTGCATTGACAGCTTTAGCTTTTGAAGCTCAAGGATAGAAAGCGAAAATCGTATCTTAATCCGGTGCATTCTTGTTCATAAACTGCATTCCCCTGTAAAGTAAAATACCTATGTCAGACATACACGCCTTAACCCCTTCTTTCAGTATTCTAAATGTCCAACACAACACAGGTAGGTGCAGAAGTGTGCAAGCTGCCAGTTGATGACCGTCAATGTGTGCCCGCCGGTCATTTAATGGAACGGTACGTTGAATGATTGTCCCACCGAAGTTATCTTATTCAACAGTAACCCAGCTCGCTTCGTACAAAAAACAAGCATGAAAAACACGTACGTCGCCGGAATAAAATCACCTCATAGTCCCTTGAGTCCGTGGAGTCCATGGGGTGAAGATGCTCCTGTTGATGACAAATGAAGCAATAACTATTCTCCTAAAACTACTAGCATACTTACTGAGTGCGTCTCACCTTCGTAATCTGTGGTGGCTAAAAGATAGGCGAGGTGTGAAGTGAAGGTATCCCTCAGGGGTGTAGGCTAGTCAGGTTGATGAGTGAGTGAGTCCGTCGGTGAGGAACAGATATACAGAGGACCCATACTTAGAACAACAAAGACGTTTTCAAGCAAATCTTCAAAGAAAGCTAATGAAGTAGGTAACATGAATTCGCATTTACCTCAAACTCCTCCAACTGACTCGCACATCCAGCAAAAGCATCGCTCAATAACTGGAAGTGGGCTGCAAGATCTAACAGATTGTTAGTTGCAAAAGCCACATCATTCCGGGCCAACTGTCTCTCCAGTTTGCGTCGCTCATTCCACCGACGATCTTTGCCATCCTGTTCTTCGCGTTTCATTGGCTGTTGGTTTTGTCGCATTATCTTGCGAGCTTTTGCCTTCCACTCCCGACGTTCCTTTTCGGATAATGTTGACCAGATCGCCTAGTGAACAGAAAAGGTCGCATGTAACCGAACGTAACCGCACATACCTGATATTTTCACCAATGATGTCTAATAGTACGTACAACTCACCTGCCATTTGCAATTATCTTTTTGACTGTCTCCCAAATCCGTCACTTCATCGGTCCCAACGTTGCTCTCGTACTTGCGTCTGTTCATAAATACAAATAGGCTGTAGCCATTAAGGCGACGATAATTGCGAAGCGCCTGTGAGGGGAGAATAATAAACGGCACACTTGAAGGACACCATAACGGGGGGACTGATCACGGACGCCGTGAAAGACGGGGTGTACAGAAAACGTCCAGAAAAAGACAGGTCAAGTTGTCAGAGTCAATGTTCCTTGACGATGGTACACAACAGTCACTTGAAAAGTCGTCGTTTCTGACTGTCAGGACCTTTGAGTAAATTCGTCATCGTTTGTCTGTGCGACGAACCTATCAGTAAGGAACACCCACAATATGCATGTATGCGGTGTATCCCACACCAATGAGGACGGAGCACTTATTAATCGTTGTGTTCAGCCTAAATCTGAGGAACATGGTAAAATATGAGTGCATAATAAACTACTCATTGAAATGAAAGAATGAGAAAAACTTCTTGAAAACATTTTAAACGGTTTTTACACAGTATACATTGCATGGATGGAGGGTTACATCAGTATTCATTGCGAAAGATCATTTGTTTTCGATGGGATTGCAAACTCTGTCAGGCAGAATACCACACGGATCTCGCTTTATAGCTCGCAGTCAGGTGCTGTTACGACCGAGAAGCCCAACCCGTGCGAAATTGGCCAAAAATTCGGGAAGCTTGCCAGTCCGATATCAACCCGGGATCTGATTGGTCGAAAGTCTGGACCCAACAGCCAATCATGACCCAGAATTGGCCGAATGCCGGTTGCCAATGGCGCATCCAGAACGCGTCAGAATTTCCAGAAAGTTATTACTGCCTACACTATACATATGAAGCGTTGTACAAGTGTTCGTGACCATCTTTGGTGGTTGTTTTGACGTGAACGCTAGCTTGGGTGGCTCAGACCGAGAACTAAGCTGAGAAAAATACCGTTACTACAAACTCCACAAGTGGAAGACGTCTGTTCAGCTTACGTTGGATGCTCGAAATAGTGACCAGCGATTACTAGCACCTCAAACTGGTCACAGCAGGCAATATCACCGGAGGGGTCTGGGACACGGAACGCATCCCCAAGCTACTACCGAGTAGTCACATGTTATTTCCAACCGTTTAAAACAGTCCCGGCAGAAATGTGCCAAGCCTGTGAAACCTGGATGTGAAGATGACAGTTCCAGAAGCGGATGTGACTAGTCGTTAACATGTAATCCAGCAGGCGTTTCCTCCTGACTGAGGTTCTTCACATTTGTATAGCAAGCACAGACTAAATGTTCATTCTTGCAGCACCATTTGCCCTTAAAACTCGGGGATGCATGTCTCCTTCTAGTGCATGCTGTCAGTGTTGATGCGGTCTATTTGGAAGGTTTCTGGATGTTCCACGGTGGATGCTGCCATGTTAGCGTAGGAGTCGGTTAGGTTTGTGAAATTCGTAAGACTACTACTGGTAAGATTGCTATTCATGTGGCTACCGGTCGGAATGGAAGCACTTTTGACAAAGTTCGTTACTAAAACCATGGGATTGACGAAGATGCCTCTGTGATAAAGTAAAGAAAGAAAGTGAAGGTAGTCCAACAAAACAAGGGTGGTGAGCGGTGTTTTCCACGCAAAAATATGGCCAACATTAGGCGACCGGCGAGCATCAGAGATGACTGGTAGGGAGGTTCGAATTATGCTGTTAGCGAAAATCGCTCATTTGCATACTAATCTTTTTGACGGGGAGTACTGTACTGGCATAGAAGGCTGGTTATTGCAGTCATGTTCAAATCAGAATAGCCACTAAGTGCCGGGTACAGTAATACCTCAAAAGAAAAGTGCCTCGGAAAATTACCCTCAATGGCTTTTCCAAACGGTCATAATTTATTCCAAATAAAAAATCGCTCAGCCGTAACACACTTTCGGTGTCTAGCTGCCATGCTACCCGATAGAGGCACGAGGGCTGGGATACTGCCAGGTTGCCCAAGCCAAGACAGGGGAAGTAGAGAGGCGGAGGTCGGGTTCGAACCACGGACCTTCCGGTCAGTAAATTCGGGCTCTGACAACTTGAGCCATCCCGCCCCTATTCCAAATAACCCTACCGAAAAGAGACTACCATTTAAGGGGAGAGAATGGTTCGCTTCGACTGCCATATTCTTCAACTTTGTCGGCGAAAGATCTATTAAAGTAGGAAGTTTCCGAAGACGATCACGACCACAATCAAAATTACAGCAAATACTTTGTCACTTTCAGCCGAAATCGACCTTATCTATTCGAGAAAATCCGCAGATTCTTTCGTTCTTTTTTTCTCTTTCAAAAATATGTTCACCTACAGTAATATATTGTCAGACCTGAGAGCTATTTCCTCGATTGATGCTGCACTAAGGGTTTTTAAAGGGAACTTTTGCAAACATTGCTGTCCAGTGGTAGTGCATACCGATGGTGTCCAGACTGTGCTTAGGTCGTTGTGCCAAATTCACAGGATCTAGGCTTAATCAACCTGAGAACACTACTTATCACCTTCGGTGCGAGTAAATCACACCGCCGACCGAGTCAGTGGATGAACAATGTGGTACACAAACTTCGATCTCCGGTTCGAATCTTCTTCAAGATTCGTATGAAGCAAACTGCCCACTAATCTTGACAACTGTATATCGCTCCTGGGATGTTCGCCATAGGTTGAGATTTGTTTGCGCCGTGAAATCCACAAGCTACTAAATGGGATGAGCAGTTGTAGCTAGTCTGACCGACGGTTTAGGTGATGGATTTGGAAAGGGGGCATCTTGGTTGTAAACAGTTGACTCAGATGGTAGACAATATGATCCCGTAAGATGCCTCCTAGGACAATCTGAACTTGCACGGAAAGACTGAGAGTACACGATTGATGGTAGAAAACCAAATACCAAAAAAGTCAGCCAATTATTTCCCACCTAGCCCATCATGATAAAAGTGTAGAAGAGAGTAACAATATGCTGACGGAATACGCACTGGTTGAACAGCAAGTCGATGGTTTGTTGCCACGTTGGAAAAAATGCTGAGTATCGCTGACCTGAATCCAAGCGTATCACATTAGTGGTCTGTTATTTCAATCAGCAAGAAGTGGTTTCACGATTACATGCCGGTTATAGCCGTGCGTAGGGCGAGATGGCTCAAGTGGTTAGAGCGCGAATTTACTGACCGGAACGTCCGTGGTTCGAACCCGACCTCCGCCACTCGACTTCCCCTGTCTAGGCTTGGGCAACCTGACAGTATCCCAGCCCTCGTGCTTCCTTCGGGTGGCATGGCAGCTAGGCACCGAAAGAGCGCTACAGCTGAACGATTATTATTATAGCCGTGCGTGCCGCCCAGGGATGTAAGGGGCGGGCCCAGGGGGACTTCCATCGGCTGTTGATTGTAATCGTCAGCGTTTGTCAAGTGCTTTTTACGTGAAATGCGTCTAACACGTATAACTGTCAAGTCCGTAGATCGATGTGACTGAAACGTCAAACTTAGTGGACTACTAAAGAGAAAAAAGGGAGCCGGTGGGCACTATTCACAAATCGCCCTGTGACTTGACTGTGATGGAACCCCAGGATTTATTGTAAGAATGCAGAAAATTCACGTAAGTGGGTCAGTACAGCGCTACCTGTCTTTAATAGTTTTATATTAATCAAGGGATAATATTGACTTAATGACAAAAAATACCTGATTTTCCGGTTAAGAGGATCGCAGTCAAATGACCTCGACATGGCAAAGATGCGAACGTAATGTCCGGAAGGTCGGTGGATCGAACCCAACGTCTTCATCTCGACTACTCTTGTCAAGGCTTGGGTAACCTACCAGTAACTCGACTCTCGTGATTCCTTCGGGTGGCATGGAAGCTAGGTACCAAAAGGATGTTACAGCTGAACGATTGTTCTTATGCAGTCAAATTGCACTACAACAAAATTTCTACTCTAACGAAACACTACATCAATGTGGCACAGTATAGCAAGATTCATGAAATTTCATCGGAAAAAACCCCATCCAGTGTGTAGAACGAAAGCAAATACGCTTAGAATGCACTCTGGAAGATAAAACAATATGCGTTTGAGTGTGTACAGTGGAAATCACCTGAATGTCAACATCCTCTCCGGTAGAACTGGTTTTCATCCGGCCGGGCATTGCGGAAAGTGAACTGGAGGAAGCTGAGGTAGGTAGTCCACTGTTGGCGGTCGGGGTTTGGGAACCATCGTCCGCGCCTGAAGGTTTCTTCTCATTATCCACGGCGGCAAATACGTCTGTAAAAAATATATACGTGTATCAAATATGAGGGAAAAGGATTTGTGACGAGAAAAATCGTTCAGCTGTAGCACCCTTCCGGTGCCTAACTGCCATGCTACCGAAAGGAAGCACGAGGGCTGGGATAATCCAGATTGCCCAAGCCTAGACAGGGGAAGTCGAGAGGTTCGAACCACGGACCTTCTGGTCAGTAAATTCGCGCTCTAACCACTCGGGCCATCTTGTGATGGAAAACCTAAGTCCTGTGAATGACAATCAACTAGACTAGCAAGCGGTCGAAAATAGCGCTAGACCATACCAAGTAAGTAGCAGATACTGAACGATTATTAAAGTGAAGGCCCATTGGAGGAAGGGCGCTCAAGTCTGAAACAGACCGTGCTTACAAAGTCATCCACAAAAGCTTCCAAAACAATAGGATCAAGAAAGGATAATGTAACGATTAGCTGTTCGTACTAATACCGGGAAGTACATATCAGCACCCGAAAACTGGAAGCAAGGGTCTAAGAAAGGGCAGAGTCTCAGTGGATTCGAAAGTAAAGGACACACACCGGGAAACAGCCACATCCTACCTAACCGGATCGATCGGCTAAACTCAATAAGGTGAACCTATTGACCTATATCGCCAAACAGATGAAGCGCGAAATGGTATCAAGCCCAGAAAGAGTGCATCATCCCCTTTTTAGTGAGGTCGGTGCAGTTCTCGTACCTGTTCTGGCCGAATTTCATCGTGCGAGCTGGGACGAAAAAATAATCCCTTCGGAATGAGACACCTCTATAGTAATTCCGATCTTCAATAACGACACGTGAATGCTATATGAAAGCAACTGATGCATCAGCATGATTATCTCCAAGTACATTGGTCGAATACTGAGAAAGGCAGGTCCACGAATGAAGCTAGCTTTCGTCTTTGGAAAAGAATTATACACCACGTCGTCACCCACAGACAGATATTTGAAATGCCTCACTGTATCCAACGACCAACAACATCCCTGACTTAAGCTTGCCCACTACTCCGTGGAGCATCAAACTCTACGGTATTATCGAGCAGTGGTGTTTCGAATAGAATCCTATCCCAAGTAAACGCGCTGTGCCAACTTCCATGGACGATCAAGGGTCCGCGATAGGTTTACGTTTGGAATCACCAACACTGCTTGGCGTGGTTGGCCACTTTCCCAGTTTCTATTTAGCTTTGTTGTCAGTATGATCCTATTAAAATCCTTATCAGGCTATGATGGAGTGGGGTTTAAATGCTCCCGAGACGTGTGTTTATCAACGTTGAGTAGACAAAAGATGATGTGCATTTTCACATACCTCATACTGACAGCTTCATTATCGCATCAACAAGATGAACAGGAAACGAGAAAGTGGGTCCCCTTACAAGGCGCCGATGATCGTAGGAAAGGAAGCCATACATCACTCGAAATTCTGCTAATACGAGGAATGCGCTATACAAAGAAACCGCTGGCGCCGCTGGTTGCACAGGCGCTTCGAACAATAGGCAGTCAGACAGAAAAATGTGTGGCTGAAGTCAACAAATACCAAGACTGTGGGTTGCTTGTCAATGTGGTGCTGATCCGGTACTACGAGGAGCTAAACGGTATAGGCCGACGTCACGAAGCTGACCATTTAGCCCTGATCCACCTGGTTTTTTATGACTGTCCCATTGCCTTTTGAACCAGCTGGCTGTCAGCTGCTCACTCCCGATGCTCCGGTTCTGTCTTATCTGGGGACTGATCTAAAGAACGTTTCGAGAGGATAAAATTGGTCTATAACTGAAAAATTTGAAAAAATTGAAGTGCATTACTCGCAAACTGCTCAGGGTTGATGAAGACAGCGAAGCACCTACCGAACTGAGCTGCAATGTCCAGCGGAGGTAATGCCATATTCGTTAGCGGATGGCTCTCGCGCAATGGCAAAAGGAGCGGAGGATTCTGCAAGAGGTAGCATATGAGGTAAGTGCTTTGGTCTTTTCGAAATATCCCACACCAGAACGAAACAAATTCAGACGACCATAAAACGGATAATCGATTGATTACGGCGAAAACCTCTAGGTCCAGGCAAAGACTACGCTTGTATGAGTCCCAAAGCGAGCGAGAGGCCGCGACAAGTTGTGAACGCGTCGCATCAACATGATGAATAATGGCAAGATAACAGTTTTCAGCATCGACAGTAAGACAAGTTCATTCCACACGACTTTGAAACATAAGGCATAAAGCAACTGAATTCATGAGTACCAATGTGCTGGTACTCCCAAAACATAACGTAGAGTCTAATCTGGATCGTCAGATTTGGCATCCCCGAATCGGCCTTGCGTGAACGCCAGAAGTACTCATCTGATTGTATGAACGTAACACACTACTCATAAGGTTGTTGATTCGAGATATTGTTATGCATTGTATAGACTTTTAATACACTGCTCATAAGGTTGCGAACAGCACCATAAACTAGAGATTCAATTGGATGCCAGGTGAGTCTCCCGTCAAAACCGAATTGATACGCAAATGAGTGTAGTTGTCGATTCTCACCTGATTGTTTAGGCCATTCCAAGAACAAAAAATACGTACGGAACTAAAAGTGTAAAACATCTAGCAAGCGAATAAATGTTTTGTGCACAACCGTCTGTGAAAAGATCTGGAAGGCAACGCGTCATTCCTGGGGCGAGATTATTCATGGATTATGGCATTCCGTTTCAAGTTTCTTATGAGCAGGCGATTTCTAATCCATCCAAAGCTTCTGCACAAGTTTACGGGACTGTGTAGAGAAAACCCCATTCCATAGAGTGAGCAAGTCTGTTCAGTGGGATACACAGTTGGTGGGACGGAAACTGGGAAGGAAAGGCTACGGACGTCCAGTGACTAGCGCGTGTCACAGAGACTTCCCGGTGTGAATTTCCAATAGACAAAGATCTGACAATCGAAACAAAGCATATGTGCGACATGTCTAGTTGATATATACTTCCTTGTAATCGTTTATTTATTTCCATACAATGACCGCCTCTATTTAGGGAATCCGATAAACCTAATACAGATTCCTCAGCTATGTGAACTAGTGGGCGGGCCCGTAGTCCACAGTTTACTCGTCGTCACTTGTTCTGTCCATCTACATCCACTTCATGAGTTCAGATAAGGATAGAACGATTCTTTAGCGGGGATTTTCAGGATCCGAGTACATCTTTATTTCGGTAACCCACTTTTGAGTTCCCAGTTGTCCGTATGCTACGTGGAGTCTGAGCAAACTCGACGCATACTGCCGCACCACTTCTGTGCCTACAGGTTTCCGATTAAACTAGAAGTAATATTAGCATCCCCAGTAAGGTTCAGGCATAATCCGAGGACAAGTGTGGTAGGATACGTGACGTAGATCCTGAATTCGAGCCTGGAAAATTGCTCAGGCGAGATGTTGAGTGAGTTCCTAAAAAGTTCATTACTGATCCTTGTAACTTAAAGGTACAACGTATGCCACTGGAACAAAACGCTACGGTACGGTAAGTAAGAAATTCTCAATCAGTTGGAAATGAATCGACAATTGCTTTACAAACTTTTCTGAAACAGAGAAACTCTCCCCATAAAAAGGACCAAGGAAAAGTAAAATACAGCCTACTAAAGCCGACTTACCTTCTGTTGGTTTTCCGGGCGTCCTGAATGTTTCAGTACAAGGGAATGGAAAGTATTATTTGGTTGAAGTCAGGATATTATATCGATCAGACACATGTAGATGCGGAGAAAGTTCATAAAACCAAGTGACCTAAAAGTTTAATCGTGGCCTTCTTCCAGTAAATCGTTAATGGTCGAAACCTTCAAAGCACAAGGGTTGAGACACTGCCAGGGTTCCGGAACTGCAACATTTTTCTTATTGTTTCAAGCGAGACTCCAAAAGACGCCGATTGAGCAAATATTTATTGGCAAACTCAAGTAAAAATATGAACTGGCAATGAAAGGCATTTCTCAAAAAAAAACACGGTCTCAGACCTGATACAAGCTGAATCTACGTCTTCATGAAGTATCTTGGATAGGTGGCCTGAGTGATGTCTTCAATGCCGCTTGGATTTTATTCACATTTGAATTCAATTTCCTGTCCGGGCGTCCAACAAACTAATCACAGCGCTCAGAGATCGAACATAGTCACCTGTTCAAACGTGATAACTTAGGTTCGTCCATTGTGAAGCAAGCTAAAAATGCTTTTCGGCATACGTCGGGTGTAAGCCAGGAAACCGAAACACAGATGTATGAAGCCTCTATCCGTCTTGTACAGCGTCATGTATGCGAGACCGCGCTCCTAATCGCGAAACGGAAGTTTGGGCCACTTGACTGGTGGTCTATGAAACAAGATATATCAGTCGGATCTATCTCCAGGCGTCTTTCTGTCCTTCGCACTAAAAAATGAAGCCCTGTGTGGTCCCAGTAACTATCGCTTAGTTTCTGTTATTCCAGGGTGATCATCCGTAAGAGTTCGGATAGTGCCGTTTTGCAGGCCTCATTTTGACGCGTAGGATTATCCTCCCTTGGCCTAATTAATGATAAAAGCTTGGTACTCTTGATATTTCGAAGGCATTCGACTGTTTCTGGCGTAATGAACAGCCTGCAAAAATCTTCATGTATGACAAAACAGATTGGAAGTAGCCTTGGCGGTGGTGTCTCCCGGGCTCAGAACAACACAGCAAGAGTACCTCAAAAAGGTATTCGATCCAACTCTTTTTTGTGTCAAACGCTTATCGTCTGTTTCCGTATTCGCGCGTTCGCATCCTACACCATTCTTGGCAGTACCGTTCCGGCAAACTACGTCACCCCAAATACTAGAAGACCACACACCATCCTTTACGGCACCGCGGATTTTCGAAAAGCTCGAACCGATTGCAGCAACGATCAACCCACTCCAGTCACCTCACTTGGTAGTTTCCTTCCACTGTGTATCGTTTGACCATCATTTTTCAAATAAACCCATTCCCATTCACCATTCCACCTCATTGACCCGGTTCACCTCCCTAATCCGCTCATGTCAAACTCTTCGTGACCCGAGTTCCTAGGAAATTCGGTTGTCCATTCCGAGTTCTTAAATACCTCGGGCACACGTGAATTCTCCATAGATATCGAATTGGTGCCAGCCAGGAGTATTGACGTCATGTGGGAAACTCAAGTCTTATCTTCGTATATTTTAATTCAGCCAGAATAAACCTGTATACCAGGTAACCACACTATTCAAGACCAACAGTCTGAGAGAAGTCCCGAACCATCGGGATGGAGCTTCTCCTGCTGTTTTACAGATGTTTGTCGGAACTGGCCTCTTCCATTGCTATCTCAACCGTGTAGCCGTACGGCCCAACCGTTCGTTCACGTACAGCCTTCCATACTAGGTTTCGATTCCTCACTGCAGAACAGGAGCTTTTCACACCTTTGCCTTATTACCACACAGCAGATCGTCTCTAAAAATGCCTCACTGCAGAACAGGAGCTTTTCACACCTTTTCCCTATTACCACACAGCAGATCGTCTCTGAAAATGCCTACTAGTTCCCTTGCTCCAACCAACCCTCAACAAGATTCACTTCTCCAGACACCAAGATACTGTGTATCTGCTCATTCTACCATGACATCCATGTTTCCCTGTGGATTCTACACGCGCTTCACTATTTTAACAAAGATACTATGTATTTTCTCATTTCACCACGACATCCAGGTTTCCCTATGAATTCTACACGCGCTTCACTATTTAAACAAAGGGCTGTCACCTCACCTGCACGCAGTAAACATAGCGTGAGGAGAAAACAGTATCTACACAGAAGAACGGATGTCTGGGGCAGGTTCAGCTTTGTTTCATTGACTGTTCGAATTATTAGGATAGATCCAAATGCAGTGAAATTTACCGATGATCATGAGCACTTCAGCCAGAAATAGCTATATATACGGTAAACCAAGTGATGCTAAAACGTGCGCTTTGGAAAACACCATCGACGTTTTGGGGTGAGGGTGAAGTTGTATGAGTACGTATAACTTTTCGACACCCAGAGGAAGCCGGATGGATAAGAAAACATCAGGTTACCCAAGCTCTAGCCGGGGAAGGACCTACCAAAAAGTAAGCGTTCGATTCGAACTAGGAACCTATATGTTAGTAGCTCGGACCGCATAGTTAGAACTTATTCCTATGACTAACGCGACTAACCAATTGATACTAGAGTAGAATATAAATTAACAGCGGCGTTTTCTCCATGGTGAAAACTCGGTCGGACCCCGAAAAACCGAGTTTTCATCTTTACAGAAGCTCATTACGGGTGCAGAGAGATAGGACACGTGACTATTTGGTTAGCAGTTCTTTCTAGTCTGTATCTAGGAGGATCAAGCGTCCGCCGATCAATTTCAACGGCTGATGAAATTCAATTGGTTTTTTACAAGCCTCTAACTTATCCAGGGAGTCATCTGTCGGAGCCACACCTACGGGCCAGACTATGCGCCACTGAGTATTCTTGATAAGGATTCTGCTACCATCATACTTGGTATGTCTTCGCCAGAGAACCGAAACGTCTTGTCCAAACGCAGCTGGGTCGGTGCATTGTAAATCCAAGGATTATGAAGGGAATCTGAATACCGGTGTGTACAACCTACATGCTAGATATTGTCAAGATCTCCGTGGTAATAACTGAACACAAGGATCAGCCCAGGATACGTAGTATTATATCCACATAGTACTAAGAGAGTGTGAACGACGGAATCATGTGTTCACTTGACCTACTGCATCACTGATTACAATAAAAATCCTCTACAGCAGCTCCGACGGTACCGCAGCAGAGCTGTCACCCAGAAGGTTGGACGCTGTACTCCGGTGTCTTTCCCACGAATTGTATCTAGGTCATGTCGAATATTTCATTCCAGGAAGATAATAATGCATCCGGTGGAGGCTTAACTGTTGCTACTAGAAAGGTGGGGAAATCTGTCACTATAGAGGAAAATGTTGGTACCTCAGGTAGCGTAGCTGGCCGCTAATTTGTTCACTGAGCTGGGCAATTTGACTGCAAATGTTTCATCACAAAACGAACAACCCATCACTACGCGCCACTAGCTCCGTGACCAACGCGCTGATGGTGTCACCTCGATCGGTGATGAAAAGTTTGCAATTAAATTGCCCAACTCAGCGAACCTTATTGAGAATTAGAGACGCAAGCCATATTTATATTTCGATGTGTGTGTTATGAACACTGATGAACGCACAGAGTATTGGTGAGAATCTAAGGGACAGTTCGGTGGACAGCCCAGGTGAACAACTAAGAACCCAATTGAAAGACCTTCAAAGTGTTCATCGAGAAATCCTGCTGACCAAATGAGACACACTTTGTCCACACCATGTAACTACACCATAGGGATGGTGTAATTTTGCTCACATAAGGAACGTAATCAGGAATCCTTTCGTAAATAACCAATACAGCGAAATTCCAAAATGCTCACTCGGTTTTTTCGGGACAATTGGGCAAGGGCGTTGTGCTTTATCCACATCCGTTTCAGCTACTTGTTGCTTGAGCGGTGTTTCGTGAGTGGATTCTGTCTGTGGCTTTGGCGGCCGTCCTCGTGGGCGGCCTCGTTTTGGAAGACACAGTCCTAACGGAAGTTGTGTGGATGTAGGACGATCGTTCAGCAGAATACTTTCCAAGCGGCCAGCCCTCCACGCTAAATCTGGTTGCCCACGAGGGAGGATCTTCAAAGGTGCGCTTCCAATCCGTCTCGTGAGGCTCGTGGTCGCACACACAGAAGGAGTTGGGGCCAGGACTAAGGATTTCAGTACCGGGTTTGAATCCACTGATATTCCACTAGTCGAGCTTAACGTGTTGGTAGACGGGGCAACAGACTGCAAATTCCGAGTAAGGGATATGGAAAGAAAGCAAAGTGATGTAAGAAGAAACAACCAAAATACGGAGTTTGAGAATCAACAAGTTTTGTTACACGAAGGATTGATCTACAGTGGGAGAGTTCATAGTGCGGATTCACTTGGCAAGGTAACCATTTGTCCTGGGAAATGAAGCGTAGAATAAAACGGCAAGAATCTATCTTAGCTTGATAAAGGTTAGGTAGGAACAACTGAGAGGAAATATCGCACGAGTGATCTGTGAAGACTAACAAGTCAGAGCTCCATAGGGAAGTATTTTGAAGTTTGAGAGAATATGGTGACAACCTGCCAAGGATAACTAACTATTCGCCGAAAGACCGGATAACCTAATCGCTGGTGAGGATAGGGCGACGAGTTGCACTGGAATATGTGACCCCCTGATCTAAACTGTTACTGAACAAGTGAGACAATCTGACTAACGGATTAATGACGGGATTGTTTCACTGAAAGCATAGCAGCGAAAAAGGAACAATGGATATCAAGTAGGACTCGGCAGATGACCAGTTAACAGACATCCTGGTTTCATTTCCAGCACTATCCAGAAAAGTCTAGGTCGCATATATTCTGACGTACAATGGTAGCACAAATGGAACCCGTTTGCTGGAGGTTCATGTTGCAGGCGTCCATCCAGTTGAGACCCGCGAAATTTCAGTCGATTTCACAGCGTTCACCGACATCAAATTTTATAAAACTATGGCGCGTTAGCTCACCAGGGCATGATCATTTCAATCTACCATTTTCAGGCACCTGGTTTACGATAGTGCTGAACCAGTTGCACGTATCCTACCGAGGAATCTCAGGTATGAGGAGCGCAGTGGCTGATAGAGATCGGTACAGGGCTTCACTTAGGATATGGTATGAGTAAGGTCCCGAAGTCACTCGGCTCTCGTTGGAAGGTGCAACTCTAATGCTCGCATGAGCAACTGCCATCTGAGAGGTAGTGGAGAGCTTGCATGGAAATGTTGAACGGCACCGCCAAATTGGTAGTTAAATTTAGAGGCAATGTCAACAATCGAGGCGCTTCATGTTTTCCCATTTGCTTGGTTTGTTAGTAGGGATGTTAGTAGACGTTAGAAGACAGAACATCTTTCTGGGCCGTTGGAATGGGAGCAGAAGGCGATTCTACTCGTTACCCAAGACGTCCGAGTAAAGTCCTCTGCGTCACACGAAATGCCAGCGGAATCCATGTCACAGCAGGACCCCTGTTATGAAAGTCCTATTTCACAGGAAACGCTTTCAATAAAGTGCAAAGAGCGATAACAAGCGCTATAACGACTGATGGTTGATCTATCACCAGTTGAGGAGTTGGCTAAACCCCGAGTCAACGTCAGCATCGGCGAAACCACGAATCAACTCCGGTGGTATAGCCGGATGAAAGTATCTTTACACTGTAACATCCATAAAGGCGGTCTTGTCTAGCCGTCTGTTTAAGTCTCCTAAACAGTGGTGATATTTGATCGTGCATGAGACAGAGGTGCAATCATCCGCAACATGTTTTTCTTTGCCGCCTACACTACACCGGCTGTCGCCATTGCCGTTCCAGTGTTCAGCGATTGACAACACCACCTATTTGAATAGAATGGCCGTAAATGCAGGACGGAAAGTAGACAAGATAACTGCGTGTTGATTTACCACACGATCTACTGATGGGAAAGCTGGCTTCGCCTAATCGGGCTGAGTATGAACAAATCCGAAACACGGATATTACATTATGTTTTGGTTCAGCTGTAGGACCATTTCGGTGCCTAGGTGCCAGGCCACCCGAAGGAAGCACGAAGGCCGATATATTGCCCGCTTGCTCAAGCCTAGACAAGATCATTCGAGTTCGAAGAACGGACCTTCCGGTCAGTGAATTCATGCCAACCACTGAGCCATCTCGAGCTCGACGGATGATTGATGAGCAGCACAAACTAGTAAAACTGCCTAACATACTGTCTTGAGAACAGAGCAACCGCAGTTGTTAGCGAATGTCTTGTCGAACAGTGTACATGAGCGGAATACATCCAAAGGAATCATAGTACCATCAAAGGGCATGAACATTCTCGGAGACTGAAGATGGAAAACAAACACACCATACCAGCGAAACAGAAGGGGTAATGCGCGGCAACTTGGTCGGAACTACTGGGCGCTCCGGTTCCGGTTGTTCCGAGTCTTTGTCCAACTCTTCATCGAACAAGTCGTCATCCGAGTAGGACCCACGCTTCTGTTGAGATAGTTGGCTGACGAGTAGACTTCGCTGGCAAAACAGAACGAAGAGACATTTGGTGAGGATTTAGGCTCTAAAAAAAACTCATGGCCGATTTCGGGCCTGCTTCGAGAGCACCTCGCTGGAAAAAGAGCGACATTTGATTTATCTGCTGGATTCCAACTAGACAAACAACCATCTAGACAAAATTGAATAGCAGGATTCTCAAATTGAACAGAGAAACAAAATAATTAGCAGCCGTTAGAAAAAAACTGAATGGTTACTCACCCCACGTACACGTTCCTCAGGTTGTTCGGTCATGAGACAAGGGGTTTTCTATGGAAAGAGAGAAACGCAGGTTGATACATCGACCGAAAAATCGACGAAAGGCTCAAAGTTGCTGCTGCAGCCTCCGATGCCTGAGAAGATACAGTGTTGGTAATGTGTTGGAATATTGGTAGCTCGGGTGCATTAGTTGGCAATAGATCAGGTGGCTGTTGCTCTGTTCGCCGAGCTTGGCATGAGAGTATTGTTAGTTGCGTATGTTACGACCGAGAGGTGGACAATGTATCACCTGACAACGGCGTGCGAAAACTAACCAGTAAACTTAGCCGGGTGGGTACTGGTGCTTCCATGGATGGGGACTCCAGGACTCAAATCATCAGTGGTTGATGACATTGGCGGACACTAGCCCAATCGCGCAATCAGTAGTGCTCGTGAATCAAAGTTATCGCCTTCAATGCGTAGCTACCCAATTTCCGAACAAACTAAACATGCCTTCGCCTCCAAGGTTTGGTTGTATGTCGCACTTTCCCGTTTTCCGGTGATCGAAACTGTAGAAGCTGGAACCAATGTGGCTATGGCACGCGGTTTATAGCTGATAAATTGAATTGAATGTAATGGTAGGTGACAGCAACAGGATCGATCCAACGTCCCTGGCAAAACCTCATTCAATAGAGGGTCCGGCGCACAACGACAAACAAATTTTAGCTAGACAGTCCTGCTAGGAAACGACGGCAGGCGAGCCGCTGGACCCGCTTGTGTGACGTCCTTCAGAGCCTTCAGCCACGCACTTGTTCAACATCCGATACCAATGCCTTGAATTGGTCACGAAGACCTGTTTACCAAACTCAATGCAGGCATTTGCTTAGCTAAACTCGACCTGGCTAATGGAAGTTGCAAATGACTCCAAGGAACTTCTAACCAGTAACACGCATCGTGGTCTTTCTCAGTTCAATCTTCTTCCCTTCAGAGTGAAAACGGCGCCAGCCATATTCCAAGAGATCGATGCTATGCTTGATAGTTCAACATGCGTCGTGGCGTACTTGATGATATCGTTTTGACAGCCTATCGCTTAACCTCAGTAGTTGATCGAATCCAGGAATGTCATTCATCTCCGAGAGGGAAAATGTGCATCCTTTCTTATGCCTATCAAATATTTGGGTTTTATTTTCTATAAATCTGGTCGTCATCCTGGCCCGGACGATATTTGGGTTTTATTTTCGATAAATCTGGTCGTCATCCTGGCCCGGGCAACATTGACGCAATTCAGAGAATGCCACCACCGACGGATGTGCCCTCATAGCGCTCTTTCCTGAGTTAGTGAGCCAGTACCAGATATGCACCGCGTTCGTGGTTCCCACAACCATCTCCCCAAAAAGAATGCTCATTATCATCATCATTACCATCGACGGCGTGACATCAGTGCTCAACACCGATGCTTCACTTCCGAAAGGATGTTCCTCGGAATCGGTCACCTCAATGTCAATCAGCTTTCGGCACATTTAAATCACTTCTATCATCAGACATGCTGCTTACACATTACAACCCATCTGTGGATATCATTCTGACGTCAGATGCATCCAACCATGGAATCGGATCTCCTGATGGATCTGAAAAAAGGCATCGCCCAAGCAGTCCGATCTTAGAAGCCAGCCGGAACGCAATTACCGACAAATAAAAAAAGATTTATTTACAATCGTATTTGTCGTCAAGAAATTCCGCCATTTCACACTCCCCACCGACCACAAGCCACTTGTCGGCATTTTCGGTTTGGAGAAGGGAGTTCCGGTATACGGCAAATCGCCCCCAGCGTTGACCGACCATTCTCCTTGGCCATGATTTTCCAATCAAATTCCAGTTTACAGATACCATTGGCCAGGAAGACGCCTATCAAGACTGATGGACTCACGACAAACGGCAGAAGATACGGTTGTGGTTCCCGTTTTCGTCGATCCGGAGTTCGCACCGTATTTGCTACATCCATTTAAGCCCTTCTAGTCACTTCAACAATGGTCCTGAACGAAACCAGATGAAGTCCAGTGCTTCAACAGGTATTACACTGTCATCGAACACGCTAGCCACCATCAGTGACACGAGACATTCAGTCCTTATTCCATCGAAGATTTTCTCAATCCGAAGTCGATGGTTTCCTTATCTTTGGTGAACGTGTTATATACCAACCAAACTTCAAGCGCGGATACTAAAGAAGTTTCGTTTTGGACAGCCAGGCATCAAACGAATGAAAGCCTTGGCACGCAGTTATGTATACTGGTCAGGTATGGACAAACAGCTAGAAGAACTTATGCAGTTCAGTTCCAAATGTCGGTGTTCTGCGAAATCGCCATGAAAAACCGAGTTATCCTTTTGGCCTAAACCAACTAATCCTTGGCCGCGTCTACACAATCAGCACTATCTTATCATGGTTGGCGCTTACAGTAAATGGCAGAAAGCAATCATGATAGATCACATCACTTCTCGCTCCACAATCGTGCAACTCACTCGCATCTTCAGTCGATTTGGTACGCCAGATAACGGCAGTGCATTTACCTAGGGGGGATTAGCCTTGTTTTGCAACCAAAATGGGATTCACCACGTTAGATCGCCGCCATCAATCTCAAGTCTAACGGCCAAGTCGAACGCTTTGTCGACACTTTCAAAAGAGTACTTAAAAAGCTTAAAGGAGAGGGAACGTCAGTGGAGATTACTGAAACCTTCTTGTTGAGCTACCGTGCGGCGCCTAACAGAAACAAGCCAAAAAACAAATCACCCGCGGAAGCGCCTCTTTGGGCGTAAAATCCGTCTACCGATTGATGTGGAACGCTCATCCCCCCAAACTCAGGATAAAAAATAAATATAATCGTTCAGCTGTAACACCCTTCCAGAGCCTAGCTGATATGCCACCCGGAGGAAGCACGAGGGTTGGGGTACCTCCAGTTTGCCCAACCTAAACATGGAAAGTCGAGAGACGAAGGTCAAGTTGGAACCACGGACCTTCCGGGCAGTAAATTCACGCCGACCACTAAGCCCTCTCCAGCACATACAAATAGAGTGGCAGTTCCACAGCCATCATTGTGCCGTTCATACCACCAATAAGTCCGGTGATTCGGTCTAGGCGAAGGACTATCGCAGCGGCGGAGAAATGGATTCATGGTTACACCATACACGAAGTCGATGTAGTCTGCCATGTGAGTCTGCCAAGCGGATCAACTCACGCCGAGATAGGCGTGAGGATAACTCAATTCCTCTGGACAGTTTTGGATACTTTTGAATTACCATCCACCACATTTACACCACGGCTGATTCCATATCTGAAAACTTGTAGATCTTCATAGGGGAGGTGTTAGAACGGTCAGTTCCTAACGAACAATTCTAACTTCCGTTTTATTTCAATGCGAGTTCATTTTTTCACTGTTAGGGCGTGGCGCTGTTGCTTCCATAGATTCATCCGTAATATAGCCCAGCTTTATCAGGTATTTTTTGTCTTCCTCCTTGAGGTTTTCTCACCCAAGTACAAGAGGGAAAGAAATTTCATCGAGCTCCTAAATCACCCAGCTAGCTAACACATACCATCTTGAGGTTTTCTCGCTTTCAATGGAGTACGGGGAACAACACTCGTCTCGGTATATGGTGTTTCGGCATGCGTATCCCATGACCGAGTCGCCCCAATTGATGATCTGGATATTTTCCACCAACCAAGTACTTGCTGTACAACCAGATACGTGTTTTCTGGTCATCTCGTTGTTAATTGCTTGACTCCATCCAAAACCAACATGGCCTATAAGGCATCGGTGATCAAAGACCAGAAGAATCCACGTCTCACAGCCATACAACCACATAGCCCTAACTGTAGCCTGGTATACACGACCCTGAAGACGCAGTAATGTTTTTTCGACGCCAGAAGTTATGCACATTGGCAAATGTGATGCGTAATTTTAAATCCATGCGCTGATTTCATCAAAACACTGCCGTCGGAGCTAATACAACCACCGAGGTATGTAAATTTTTCCACCATCTCCAATGAAACTCCTTGAATCGTCCTGAAGCATGATTTGTACTTTCAAGATGCGAGGCGCATGCCAAAAGAGGGCATGGTGGTGAGCATTCTATTCAACAAGGATTTTGCTTCGCTTTGCTCCTCAAAGGTGAGGGCGATGTCGTCTGTTTACTATAGACCGACAAGGTTCTCACCAGCAACAGTGTACACCAGGGTTTTGAAGAACTCAGTGTTTGCCTCACCATTTCATCAGTGACGAAGTTGAACAAGAATGGAGACAGTGGATATCCTTGCAGGACACAAATTTTCGACCATTCAGTCCGTTGTAAAAGAGCACCTACAGCGTCAAAATTCATTCAGCTTTAGCCACCAGGGGGGAGCACGAGAGCCGAGATACTGCCAGGTTGCTCAACGCAGACAAGGGAAATCGAGAAGCAGAGTCCGGGTTCGAAATCTTAAAACCGAGCCATCTCGTACCCCTCCCAACAGGAGCGCTCTTGAAACCGCCTGTTAGGCGAAATTCCACACGGATCTCGCTTTGTTGCCCACAGTTATGTGCTGCTACGGCCGAGAAGCCTACTCCGCACTTGATTGGCCAAAACTCGGGACATTTGCCAGTCCGACATCGAGCCGAGGCCTGATTGGTTGAAAGTCCGGACCCAACAGGCAATCATGACCCAGTATTGTCCAAATGCCGGATGCCAGTGCCGCAGCCAGAAGGCGTCGGAATTTCCAGAGGGTTGTTGCCGCTAACCTTATATACATGACGCGCTGAACAATTGTTCTTGACTTCATTTTCGGTGTCATTGTACGATGAGCAACTTTGGTGGTTGTTTAGGTGTTACGTTAGCTTGAGAGGCTTTCACTGATTCACGGATTGATACACAGGATCGAGGTTATTGCCAAGTTTTCCGGGTCGGTTTTGTTCTTATTAGTCAGTGGTTGTCGTTCATCTGAAAGGCATGAGTGGAAAGAGGGTGTAGCACTGCTCTTTATGTTCTCAGCGCGGGGCAGTGTGCTTGCCAGGGCGAGGATTCGTATAAAT